TGATGACGTCACCAACGAATCGACGACTGAATTAGTTGCCAACTAATTTGGTAATCGATTTTAATCGATTAAGTCGATTAGTTGTTGCACCCCTACTTCTAATAATAATAATAATAATAAAGCATTTATTTTATATAGGCGACTTTCAAGGCTCTCAAGGTCGCCGCACAAACACAACACAAGATACACAATACATAACACCAGCATAAGAGCAAGACAAAGCAGTATATAAATCAATCAAATAACCAAATAAATAAAAACAGAGGATGTGTGATGGATAATGATCAGGGTGGATATGCGAGTGTGAAGAGATATGTTTTGAGGCGTGATTTGAAAATGGGGAGAGAGTCAGTGTTGCGTATGTCAGGTGGGAGGGAGTTCCAGAGGCGAGGTGCAGAGCGGCTGAAGGCTCTAGACCCCATGGTGGTTAAACGGAAGGGGGGTGCAGTGAGGTGGAGGGAAGCAGAAGATCTGAGTGTGCGGATGGGTGTGTTGATGTGCAGGAGGTCGGAGAGGTACAGAGGAGCGAGGTTATGGATTTGACGGGGAGCCAGTGAAGCTGCTGAAGAACAGGAGTGAGGGGGTTCATGGAGGGGGTTCTGGTGATGATGCGGGCGGCAGAGTTCTGGACCAGTTGAAGTCTGTGGATGGATTTGAGAGGGAGACCAAAGAGAAGGGAGTCGCAGTAGTCGATGCGGGAAGTGACCAGGGTGTGAACAAGAATGGCGGTGGTCTTAGGGTTAAGGGACGGGCGGAGGGGGTTGATGTTGCGTAGATGGAAATAGGCAGACCGAGTGATATGACTGATATGAGATTTGAATGAAAGTGTGCTGTCGAGGATGACACCCAGACTCTTAACCTGAGGGGAGGGGGAGACTGAAGAGTTGTCTATTGTAATAAAAAACTGTCAGGTTTGGTAAGGGTGGATTTTGCGCCAATGAGGAGAACCTCGGTTTTGTAGTTGTTAAGTTTGAGAAAGTTAGAGGAAAACCAGGATTTGATGTCCTGTAAGCAGTCAGACAGGGAGGATGGAGGTTGGTTTGGAGGACAAGTAGAGCTGGGTGTCATCCGCGTAGCAATGAAAGTGGATGTTGTGTTTACGGAAGATATTGCCAAGAGGAAGTAAATAGTTGGTAAAAAGAAGAGGCCCCAGGACAGAGCCCTGGGGAACACCGGTCGTCACTGGAAGTGGCTGTGATGGAAACACTGATGCTTTATTTGGAGCTTCGGCCGGAGAATTCACAAAACATGTCACGGGTCACATTCTGACCACACGGTAGAGACGCCACATCAATTCTGAAGAAGCCTCCTGCAGCTCCAGGTTTGAACTAGTTCGGAGCATAATCATCAACATTCTTCAATAGAGAGACTCAACTAATATGGACCCTGAATCTAACTAGAGCTTGTCCATAGGAAATAATGTGCACCAGGGAACCTACGTTCCAGATAAAAGAAGGGCCTCTAGATGTCCCTGAACAATAAACTCTCTCATGGCAGCTTGTGCTCGGTCATAAGCTGCAACAACAATGCGCCCCAGCTGCCCCTCCTCAAGAGAGATAGCAGCAGAACCCAAGCTGCCCCTCCCTTCAGAGAGATAGCAGCAGAACCCAAGCTGCCCCTCCTTCAGAGAGATAGCAGCAGAACCCAAGCTGCCCCTCCTTCAGAGAGATAGCAGCAGAACCCAAGCTGCCCCTCCTCAAGAGAGATAGCAGCAGAACCCAAGCTGCCCCTCCTCAAGAGAGATAGCAGCAGAACCCCAGCTGCCTCTCCTCAAGAGAGATAGCAGCAGAACCCAAGGCCGTAGACCAGTGCCATGGGAAAGGAGACAGTGAAAAGAGGAAATGATGAACTGTGTAGAAGGTTGAATACCTAAGTAAATTATTCCCCAACATTGTCTATTATGAATGTTTTGATGGCACCTTGAAAGCTTTACTCTTCTTGTTGGACTTGTATAAATGACAATAAATGCTTCTAATCTAATCTAGAGAGGGATCCCTCTTCTGTTGCTCTCCCCGAGGTTCAATCAGTTTCCCCATTAACTTGTGTGCAATGCTGCTGTGAAGAAAACACTTCCACAAAATGGGTTCAATAAAGTATATCTTGTCTAGGTGCGTAAGGGAATATTACATTGACTGAAACTGTTAGGAGGTTACAGCTGTTAACATGTGATAAAGAGCTATCAAATAAAACATGTAATGAGTTACCAGTTAGTGCTTTACTTACCTTGAGTAGATTCACAGTGAAACCGAGGAGTTTAATAACATAAAATACACTAAAACCCTTTGTTTTTAGCCATTAATAGCATGTGGAGCTAATTCACCGCAGCTAACGGTGGTCCGTTAACAGTTAAAGTTGACTATCACAGCATGATTAAACTGCTAATAACTCACATACGACCCAAACATGGTTCATGAATCAACGCTGATACATTTCGACAGTTTAAATAGTTAAATAAATAAAGCTCCTCTAAAGTTATATTAATGTCTGTAGCTTCTTAGCTCTCAACTGACAAGACTGCTGTTTACAAACCGGGTCAGAGATGATGTCGGGAAACACCACAGCGCCCCCTTCCGCACCGGAGGGGAACGGTACTGCATTATTTTATATATTTATATCAATTAGTAAGATGTTAAATAAATGAAATAAACGCTATTCTGGACATTTAAATTGAATGTGCAATTTTTATTTATTTTATCATGTTTTGGATTATCTTGTGCTTGTTTTCTGGCTAATATATTAGTAGTTGCTCTATTATTATTATTTGTATTATTACTATTATTATGGAGTGTGTGATAAGAATGGTACTGCTTTATTTGACATATTTAAATCAATTGATATGCAAGAGAAATCAATAAATAATTAAATAAAATGCAAAAATCACACCCAGCTCACAAACCATAAAATATGTTAAAAGAAATAATCTTAAAAAACTGTTATATTTTATTTTAATTGTTTTTTTGTTACTTGTTACTATTATTATATGTTGTACATTATATGTGTATTATTATAGTTTTATTGCTATTATTATTTCTATTTATGTTTTTATTTATTTTGTATTTATTTTGTTAATGTTTTTTAATAATATTATTGTCTTTTTTGTATTATTATTATTATTATACATTTTTCAGTCAGGTTTTTTTAATATTATTATTACTTCATTTGTTGTTTTTACTATCATCATTTTTGTTATTACTAACATAATTATTATCATATTTTAAACTAATTATTATAATTGTTTACCGCAGCTTGTAGTTCAGTCTTCCAACCAGCAGGTGGCAGCAGTGGCGGAAATTAACCCGGAAGTGTCTCTGAGAGAATTACCAGCATCGTAGCATTTGTTTTCCTCCCATTCAACATGAAGTAAGTCTTTTAACATTTAAATACAATATATCTTATGATCTCTTCTGTTCTGCGTTAATATGGTGTTTTATCCCTCTAATGTTTGCTCACTAATATCAATAACAATATAATAACTTAGGTATCGTCATACGTTCAAGATGCGATGCCGAACCCCGTGAAAATAACTCATCATTTAACAATTTTCCTTATTTTTTGGCTTTAAACACAATTTTAAACACAATATATGTACTTATAATAAATATATAGAGACAGTTTATTAATTCGGCGTCAATAAAACACCTATTTATTCAATAATATCTGAGTTTTGTGCCTTTGTGTGCCTTGTGTTAATGGCGCAGAATGGTTGGTTTGGTGCAGGAGGATTTGTTTTTGTTTGTTGTTGTTTTGTTTATATTGATTTCCCGACTTGAGTGGAAGATCCTAACTACATTTTATCCAGTATATGATAATAACCTTGCACTGTGCATGATTAATTTGTCATTACGTTGATTGCCAATACCGAACCCCGTCAGAAAATCCCATCATTTAACTAATTTCTTTATTTTGTTGCCTTTAAACACGCTTTTAAAGACACATTATTAACTTATATTAAATATTTACTTATGTAGTAATAATTCGGCGTAAATAAAACAGTTATTTAGTCAATACTATTCGAGTTTTATGGTGTTCTGTGCTTTTTGTTATGGCGCAGAATGGTTAGTTGTACTGCAGGAGGATTTTGTTTTTGTTTGTTTAGTTTCTTTAGATGTCCCGGATTCAGGATGTATTCTAACTACATTTTATACACCTGTTGATAATAACCTTGCACTGTGCATTATGATTTTGTCACATACACGTGTAGTTTATCAGTTAACAGTGAGACGTACAATTGTTTTGTTTTTTAATTAAGTCTGGTGAGGAGTTTTCCTGCGAAGCTTCATCATCATTCACTTGAAATTACGGGCCAAAAGTGTTATTACAAGTATTAAAAGTAAGCATGGGACACCAAACCTACTGAGATCTGTCTGACACACACACACACACACACACACACACACACACACACACACACACACACACACACACACCATAAAGAGAGTAGGCCTGTTATACAGGACTGTCTCAGAAAATTAGAATATTGTGATAAAGTTCTTTATTTTCTGTAATGCAATTAAAAAAACAAAAATGTCATACATTCTGGATTCATTACAAATCAACTGAAATATTGCAAGCCTTTTATTATTTTAATATTGCTGATTATGGCATACAGCTTAAGAAAACTCAAAAATCCTATCTCAAAAAATTAGAATAGTTCCTCAGACCAAGTAAAAAAAAAGATTTATAACAGCAAAACACAATCAAACATTTGAAAATGTCCATTAATGCACTCAGTACTTGGTTGGGAATCCTTTTGCACGGATTACTGCATCAATGCGGCGTGGCATGGAGGCAATCAGCCTGTGGCATTGCTGAGGTGTTACTCATTAGCATTGTTGGGTCTGGTGTCTTTCAGCTTCTTCTTCACAATACCCCACATATTCTCTATGGGGTTCAGGTCAGGGGAATTTGCAGGCCAATCGAGGACAGTAATGCCATGGTCAGTACACCAGTTACTGGTGGTTTTGGCACTGTGGGCAGGTGCCAGATCATGCTGGAAAATGAATTCCTCATCTCCATAGACTCCAGCTTCAGTCCACTGTCTTTGAAGCTCCCCCAAATTCTGGAAGCGACTCTTCTTCACAATGCTGTTAAGGCTGCGGTCATCTCTCTTGGTTGTGCAGCGTTTCCTGCCACATTTCCCCCTTCCAACAGACTTTTTGTGGATGTGCTTTGAAACTGCACTCTGTGAACAGCTTGCTCTTTGAGAAATTTCTTTTTGTGTCTTACCCTCCTGATGGAGGGTGTCAATGACGGTCCTCTGGACAGCAGTCAGATCAGCAGTCTTCCCCATACTTGTGATTTAGTTTACTGAACCAAGCTGAGTGTTTTTCAAGGCTCAGGAAACCCTTGCAGGTGTTTCGAGTTAATTAGACGATTCAAGTGATTCGTTGAACACCCTACTAGTATACTTTTTCATGATATTCTAATATTTAGAGATAGGATATTTGAGTTTTCTTAAGCTGTATGCCATAATCAGCAATATTAAAATAATAAAAGGCTTGCAATATTTCAGTTGATTTGTAATGAATCCAGAATGTATGACATTTTTGTTTTTTTAATTGCATTACAGAAAATAAAGAACTTTATCACAATATTCTAATTTTCTGAGACAGTCCTGTATATTATACACACTGCTGCTCTTTCTGCACGGACCTCACAGCTGTTCTTACTGTAAACATTGCGTTGCGATGAAAGCAGTTACTCAAATAATATCCAGGGGATGCATGCAGAGCTGTGATTGGCTGAGATAAGTCTGGCCGTGCGTCACGACTCTTTGAAACATCTCTGTTCCCGGAAATGCATCCACGAAGGAGCCGTGGAGGACCCATCAGTGTATCCTCGGTTAGAGCTCCTCCAGAGAGCCTCCTCTCTCCTCTCTCCTCTCTCCTCGGTTAGAGCTCCTCCAGAGAGCCTCCTCGACGCTCGATCCTCGGTCCTCAAGTGCATTTAGAGAAATGAGATGTCCTTCAACATGGCGCGCTGAAATTCATTTCCGGGTCACTACCGGAGGACCGAGGAGGGGAAGTTAGAGAAATGAAAAACCTTCATTATATCATGAATTACATCCCCCATTGCACTTTCCCCTAGTTTAATTATAAAGAAGAAATGCATAAAAGTAATACAATAAGAACATAATGTTAAAACAGCATTAAATAAACACATGAATTGATTTATTGTTGGAACATTAAATGGCATATTACTGTATTTACTTTACAGCAGAAAGAGCAGCTCAATGTGAACTAAGAAGCATTCAAACACATTAAAGATACAAAAATGATAAGAATTACACAATTTACAAAATACACATCCTGTAACAGTTCTGAGGATTGAGCAGCCAGGTATATATTATATTGCACATGACGTCCACATTACACCTGATGTTAATGTGAACTTTACTCAGAGTTAAAGCCCTCCTCTGTCTTCAGTCCTCTGACGAAGGTGAAGCTGATCAACGAGCTGAACGACCGCGAGGCGAGTCTCGGGGTCAACGAGTCGGTGTCGTGGCACACGGAGTACAAGGACAGCGCCTGGGTGTTCGTGGGTAAATACCATTAAGATATAAGCATTCATTTAAGTGATCATTCTGATGAGCGGCAGCGGGAAGGGGTGTGGGGGGGGGCCTGGTTGTTGAGGGCGTTGTGAGTAATCAGGAGGACTTTGAAGTGGATTATTCGAACGGGGAGCCAGTGGAGGTTCTGGAGGACGGGAGTGATGTGGTCTCGGGTTAGGGTGTGGGTTATTGAGGAGGTTGGATGGTATGCCGTAGAGCAGGGGTGCGCAATACGTTGATCGACCGGTCGATCGCAAAAGTAGTGTGGGTAGATCATCATCCTTACTACGGCATTTGCCACTTGATTGACGTACAGGTAAGGCAGCCTGAGTTGTATTGTGCCATACGGCAGCTCCTCATCTGAAGCGCGCCACAGTTTATCCACCGTTTAGTCCACTAGCATCAC